AGACTTTTGTAGCTAAAGTTTTTATCTTACGGTGAAGATGTATATATCTCTTTATTTATATTTATATATATATATATATATATATATATATATATATATATATATATATATATATATATATATATATATATATATATATATATATATATATATATATATATATATATATATATACAGTTGAAGTCAGAATTATTTGTCCTCCTTAATATTAGCAACTCTTTTCCCCCCAATTTCTGTTTAATGGAAAAAATATTTTTTTCCAACTTATTTCTGATCATCATAGTTTTGATATTTCATTTCTAATGACCGATTTCTTTTATCTTTGCTATGATGAAAGTACATAATATTTTACTAGATATTTTTTAAAATACAAGCATTCAGATTAAAGTGCAATTCAAAGGCTTAATTAGGCAAGTCATTGTATAACAGTAGTTTCTTCTGCAGACAATCAAAAAATATATTACTTAAGGGGGCTAATAATATTGACCTTAAAATGGGTTTCAAAATATTTAAACCTGCTTTTACTCTAGCTAAAATAAAACAAATAAGCTTTTCTCCAGAAGAAAAAAATATTAGAGGAAATACTGTTAAAATTCCTTGCTCTGTTAAACATCAATTGGAAAAATTTTTTTTTTAATTCTCAGGAGCGCTAATAATTTTGACTTCAACTGATAATCGTTTTGAATAATCGTGATTACAATTATGACCAAAATAATCGTGATTATGATTTTTCCCAATATCGAGCAGCCTTTATTGATAACATATTAGAGACTGTAAGGGGCTGTATGTGTTCATATATGTTGCATTTATTTATTTATTTATTTATTTATTTCATATAATTGCAGACGTTACAGTAGGCTATTTTGCCCTATCTGCAGTTATAATTTGCGATCTGCAGTTATATTCAAATTATGTTTATAGGTTTGTAATGAACATTTATACACACATATTTATGTGTGTAAAGCATCTGTTCTGTGTAAAGTGCTTCTCATATGATATGTGAACAATTTTACATTGACATTTCCTTGAGGAAGAATGACGTTGACTGAAACTTTCTGTCGTACACCACACCCACCATTAGTACCCTTTTGGCAGTGGAAATGCAAGCCTGATAAAGGTGACCCATACCGTACCATACTGTACCACTCAGTGGAAATGGGCCATAAAGCACCTGTGTTTTAATACTTCAATTAGTTTTTTTATTGTGAGCAGAAGATTTGTAATTGGAACCCTCCCAAACAGTTTATGTGATGCAGGGGAGTTTGAACATTTATCTCCTAGTAAAATATAGTTAGTAACATTGTATTGTGAGCTATATTGTGTAGATCTAATGGAAACCACTAAAATTATATAGTATGTGGAATTACAGATAAAATTGTGAACGTTTTCTATTCTGATGAATGTTAACATTGACTTAAGTGTATGGGGATGGCTGAGAGATGACAGATGAGCTGTGGTGAAGCTCTCTCAGATTGTGAGCATAGCAGCCATTCCTTCTGTGACTGTTTTTGTGTGGTACAGTGTATGTTTGTGTGTGTGTCTATGTGTGTGCGTGCATAGACATTCCACAACCACTGCCAATCGCATGCCAAAACTGCACGACCCCGCTTTGAACTGGGCCAACATGTGACTTCTGTAATCCAGACAAACAGTTGCACTTGCGAGAGAGAGAGAGAGAGAGACAGAAAGAGAGAGAGAGAGAGAGAGAGAGACAGAAAGAGAGAGAGCATAGACAGTTAAAGCCATAATTATTACCCCCCCCCCGTTTATTTTTTCCCCAAATTCATTTTAACGAAGAGAAGATTTCATTTATACTAACTGATTTATTTTATCTTTGCCATGATGACAGTAACTAATATCTGACTAGATATTTTTCAAGACACTTATATGCAGTTTAAAGTGCCATTTAAAGGCTTAACTAGGTAAATTTGGTTACCTAGGTAGGTTAGTGTAATTAGGCAAGTTATGTACATTTGGGAAATGTTTAAAAAAAAATTAAAGGTGGGGCTAATAATTCTGACTTCAACTGTATCTAAGAGATTTTGTCCATAGAGATGTTTATTATCATATACGATTACAATTGTTCCTAAAATTGTTAACAGAAGTGTATCTGCTTATCAGGAGTATAACTAATATTAGTCTACTAACAGACATTATAACATAATAATTATAAAATACCTATGAATTTATTACAGAATCTATAATATGTATACCTCTATATGAATAACTAACATCCAGCAGTGTCCAGTTCTTTGGGTTGGTATGCTAAGTTTTTGTAAGAAGAATTGGACAACACAATCAGTTTCTTTGTATAGTCTGGTCAAACTGTGTCACAGGGTGCATATAAACAGCGGCACTGTCCATTTTTTTTTGTGTTTAGAGACAAAACGTTCTAAGACAGTCCATCCCACACCATTGCTCCATTTGCTCTGGTAGCAAATGACAACTAAACAATCTGAGATGGAGAGTGGTAACTTTAACCCTCATGTTCTGATAATATTTGATTCCAAACTAAACTTTCACTATTAAACATCATGTATGTTGCTATATACAATTGAAGTCAGAATTATTAGCCCTTCTTTGCTTTTTTTTCTTATTTAAATGTTTCCCAAATGATGTCTAACAGAACAAGGACATTTTCACAGAATTTCTGATAATATGTTTACTTTTCGAGAAAGTCTTATTTGTTTTATTTCGGCTAGAATAAAAGCAGTTTTACGTAAAAAAAAATAAAAAAAATAAAAAACTAATTTAAGGTTAAAACTATTAGCCCTTTTAAGCTATATGTTTTTTTGACTGTCTACAAAACAAACCATCATTATACAATAACTTAATTCCCCTAACCTGTCTAGTTAACCTAATTAACCTATTAAGCATTTAAATTTCACTTTAAGCTGAATACTAGTATTATGAAAAATATCATATAATGAAATATTATATTTTGTCATCATGGCAAAGATATAACCAATCAGTTCTTAGAAATAAGTTATTAAAACTATTATGTGTAGAACAGTGTTGAAAAAAACTTCTCTCATGAATAGAAATTAGGGAAAAAATAAACAGGGGGGCTAATTGTTCAGGGGGGCTAACAATTCTGAATGCAACTGTATATTTATATAATACTATCTGAATACAATAAAATTCACTACACACACACCCACCCACACACACACACACACACACACATATATATATATATACATATATATATATATATATATATATATACATACATATACATATATATATATATATATATACATATACATATACATACATACATACATATATATATATATATATATATATATATATATATATATATATATATATATATACATATATATACATATATATACATATATATACATATATATACATATATATA